GCAAGCAAGCAAGCCAGCAAGCAAGCAAGCAAGCAAGCAAGCAACCAAGCAACCAGGCAACCAGGCAACAAGGCAACCAACCAAGCCAAACCGAACCGAATCGAGCCGAACGGAATCGAGCTGAACCAAACCAACCAGCCAACAAAGGCCTCAAGATGCCTAAAGCAAGGGCATTCAACTGCAAAAGCAACACGCCCAGTTGCAGCAGTAGGTGGTGCAGGGTGTGTCATAGCCCCACAGCCTCCAGTTCTGCTGGCATTCGCAGCCGATGGTCGTCACCCTGAAGCTCGACAAAAAAAAACGGACCCCACTGGAAGCTGACTGTCACTTTAAAAAATGCAGGTCCGAGTGCGAACAACAAAAGCACCAGCCGACAGTCTCAAGATCAGTTCACCAGTCCACGATGCAACACTTCTAGAAGTTTTACTGGGAAACTGAGACTCGACCATACATCTGACATCAAGCTCGGAGTGGGCTTGTTCTATCGGATGAGTAGCTTGGTAAAGCGTTGCGAATGCCTGGCATCACTTTTGAGTGACCTTGGGGGAACAACTGGCGATGGCCAAACAAACGCAAGCCTGAGGGCTTTCTGCATCAAGTTGGACATGATTCAACATTCTTGATTTTGTCCATGCCGCCCCATAAGCCAATCAAAGATCCCACGAACTACGCCATGCGAGTCATTGCACTTGAACGCTAGATGATAAACCGCACCTGCAACGATGACTGGTACATGAGCGCTGAATCATCTTGCCAACGGAGCAAGAGCATGAGCCCTAGGGAAAGCCTTCAAGAAACCTCGCCAGGTAGGCCAAGCACCCAGGCCGGAATTTTGCACCTTCCTAGCTTGGCAACACATACGCTACGCCTCGGACTTAGGACAAAAAAATGTATGCTGGCCGCAGCACGTCAGCAGTGGCCCCAAGTGTGGCTGACCAATCCGACATTGAAGTTCGCGCCTATGTCAGAAGGCAAAAGAGCCTTGCTTTTGAGCCTTGGCACACATGAAGGGAGCCGTGCAATACGCACATCCGGCCTGTAGGGGGGCAATGTAGTGGTCTGTGTCGTCGGGGGTGCTGTAGTTGTCCCTCCGCTGCCAGAAGTGGTAGTCCCGCCGCTGGCAGTAGTGGTCGGGGTCTCGTCTGATGCATCAAACCTCGATATTGCGCGCAAAGCAATCCCTCCCCTTCATGCCAGAAAGAAGTCAGCCGGCAAAATTGCCAAAACAACCAGCCGTGCCAAACGATTTCAGCTAGAGACGTGCTAGCCCTGACAGCTACACCGGCCGCATGAGGGCAGGCCGGCTGGCCGTCTGGCTGGCCAAGCACTGCAGAAACAGTGCACCAGCATGCCTTCAATTCAGCTCTTTGTCAAGTCCGCAGAATTACAACTCATTTATTCTAAACTATTATGACAGCCGGAAACTCCGGCTGTTCTAAAGGAAGTCCTTGTCCAATGACATACTCTTCTGCTCCCTTGCAGACTTCCGAGCGCAGTCTTAGGACACCACCCTCGTCACAAGGCTAAAGCTTGTTGCATGCTTGACTATGTACCCTCCCACCAGCTAACATGGAAGTGCACAGACCCCTGTAGAAGACTACTTTCCTCTTGGAAAGAGCCTTTTTGCACTTCATGTTAGTTGGTGGGAGGGTAAGCCTTTGCGCGACCCAGGATGGCCAGTCCAACGAATTCTGTATCCTTCGATCTCGTGCCAGGCTAGATAGCTTCTTGACCTCACCTCCCATGCACTTGATATCGAGTTGCCTGTCATAAGCAAACAAAAACATCTTGTTTGCTTTCTGTATCGCCTGTAAACCTTAAGACTGCCCGAGAACCACCACCAAAACTACAACTTCCAGTCAAGGTGCTGGCCATTGCAGTTCCCAACAACCTCGGCGACGGGCGACAGCTGTCCGACTCAAAATGAATTGCACCACTTGAGCCTATTGCTCGAAAGGGACTTCACCTGAAGCCAAGCCTTTGGGTGGAGTCAAGGTTTCAGTTTTGACACATTTCAACTTCTCGAACTGAAAAGGACAGGGGACCAATTGAGAGGGGGCTCTTCTTGCTCAAAAGAAAAGTGGGTGAGATCCGCGTTCCAGTCCGGGCGTAAATTCAGCTCATGCTCCACTTGGCTCCGTTTCCTTGTTGGTTGGATTTTTGACGGGAAACCAACAGGAAACCGTTGCCATTTTGGGGGGTCCCCTCAAAAAGACATACCCCCTTGCTTCGAGCTGCCTGGTTCATCTTCTGACACATTTCGGTCCTGCGGTAGTTCGTGTTGAACTGATACACGCCGTTCAGCAAGCCATCCCCGTAGTCCATGATGCCTGGTCTCTTTGATGCAAGAGAACGCACAGAGACAGACATGCACACACACCAAGCCAAGACACACACACACACACACCCACACAAACACAGAGACACACTCACACAAACATGCGCGCCCACAAACAGAGGCACTGAGACACTGAGACATAAAGAAACTAAGATAGAGACACAAACAGACTTTCACAAACACACAGATATGGACAACAAATGCACAAAGGTGCAGCGGAAATAAACATGCAACAGAGACAGCCCAAACGCGCACAAATGCACACACACACACACAAATACACAAGCGAAACACAATAAACGCCACGACGCAGACAGACACACAAACATATATATATATATGTATGTATGTATGTATGAATGTATGTATGTATGTATGTATGTATGTATGCATGCATGTATGTATGTATGTATACCTGTATATTCTACCTGGACCCTGCCACGATGGTTTTATTGTTCAGTCTCCCCTGAAAATTTGACGCAGCAAGCGGCGCCCCTGAACACAGCAAAAAACAACGTGAGAACAGCGCACAACGACGCCAAAGCTTTGTCATTGAGTTGCCTGTTGGGTCTTCGCCTGAAAAACATGAAAGCCTGAACAAAAACGTCTTTGGGGGGGTCCAGGTATGTATGTATATATAAATATATAGTATATATATATATATCAATATCAAAAATTGCACAAAAACACCGTAAATTACAGTGCTGTCTGCAAGGCATCTGCAAACCAAGTGGACACTGAACATCTGCAAATAAATCTCTGTCATGCAAAAAGTAGAAAGGTAGGCCCTGGGGGGGGGTGACCATATATATATATATACAGTTCTGCGCGCGCAAACTCACACAAACCCAAACCGCACGCGCAAAAGCAATCACAAACACAAGCACGAGCAAGTAACCAATTGCAAAATACCAACACACACACACACAACCCCATCGCGCGGGTTTATCTTAAACATGTATTGGGACAAATCCGGCCTCTGCTCTATGTGTGCTTGCCTGATCACTAGTCTGAGTAGGAGCATAGGTGTGGCTCGTAGTTGGCCTCATATAGGGTTTGCCTGAACCAGCCACACCTTTTGGACACACCTTTTGGACACACCTTTTGGACACACCTTTTGGACACACCTTTTGGACACACCTTTTGGACACACCTTTTGGACACACCTTTTGGACACACCTTTTGGGCACACCTGTGTTTCAATCAATGAACAGTAGCCCAGAAAAAGCCCACAAGCACAAACATGCGACAACAAATGGCCAAGCGCTGCAAAGGCTACCCTGATATGTGCTCATTGTGGAAAATGGGTTCTGATAAGTTTCACCCCCACTGCATGATTTGTCTTGCAGAAGTCTATGGCCATCTCTCACCCTTGGGCCACGCGCAAGAAAATGTTCTTGGCGAGCGTTGCGGTCTTGGTGTACCACCAAGGCCCCCGATTTTGAGCAAAAGCACCCGGTATTGAAAGAGGAAAATTCGGCGTACCGGACACGGCACACAAGACTCGTGCCTCCAGTGGAGCCCTGACCCTCCTCAAAGGAGTGAGCACCTGCGTGGCAATTGAAAGGCCTGGTGATAGGAATGAGACAGCCATTTGTTTCATCGCAGACCCACAAAAGGTCATGGGTCAGACACGCCTTCAATTTATGTCAAGGGCTTTTGGACAAACTGATGACCATACCTCACCCAACAAGAAGAGTAGCGGGTGCTTTCGCCAAAGACAAATTGACGATGCAAACACACAGGATCCCTGTTTAGCTTCAAAGCCAGTCCAACCCGTACCCAGTAGGGCCACGGCTCTGACTCTGTTGCTTGAAAACCTCCAAACTACAGAAATTTGACTCCTGTCGTTGCTTTGTCGTGCAATGGCAATCTGCTCAAATATTTACCGTATACCCTAACGGGTTGCGGTAAGATGGCCATCCCGTACTTGCTTGCTGCCTGAATGCCAGCCAATTCTGTTGGCACCACTTTTTAACAAAGGCGCGAAGGAATTCCCGGAAATCAAAACTGAGCAAGGTTACGAGGTGCTAGAGGGTGTGTCGCTTCCCCTTCCCTGGTCTCTTGAATGCTTGCAATCCTCGTCACAGCTGTGAAGGAACACAGACGAACCCACGCAACATGTGGCTCATCAGGGCTCGTCTTTTGGCTGCGAGTTCGACAGCAGGCAAACGAGATGAGAACCAAACACCGCGACTCTAAAGAACTCAGGATGAGACCGGTCTCCAAGCGGAAATGTGTTAACAAAGAATGCCTCCCTCAGAGCAGGGATCCCACAAGAACTGACAGTCGTCCCGATGTCCAGGTTCTCTGCTGGCTCGAGTCACAAACTGGCGCCATGTCTTCAGAGGGCAGCCCATAAGCTGCTATTGAAAGATCTATGTTTGCGGTCCGAACTTCTTGCGTTCAGGTCCAGCGCCAGCGTAAAGAATCCTTAGTGGACCTAGACTGGGTGACGGGTGCTGAGGCAGACACACAACCCAACATCTAGCCGTGGACGGCGAGCTAATCCAATAACAGGTTCTGAGTGGCACCCATTCAAGACCCTTAGAAGCCCTGGCGATGAGCAGAAAGTGCTGCATTTGAAAGCCCGCACAGTTCCTTCAGTCCACCAATCCAATCAAAATACAGGGACCCCCTTCACGCAGGTTTTGGTCGGGAAATCTGAACATGAGCGTCCTCCCGTTGGCTTCGTGTTGGTCACTTACCCTTTTGGCAGGAAAATGTGGGGAAACGGGGAGGGGATTCTTCTGTTTAGCCTTCGGACGAATCAGAAGTTGACCTTCTCCAGCCCTGGTTTGTGCACCTCCAAAGTTGTGGCCGAGCTCGTGAGCGAAGATCAGCCACGCGTTGTTGAGTCTCACCAGCTCGTTCACTCCTGGTGGGTTTTCAGAACTTGGGCAGACGCAAAAAAAAAGTGGCCTCCTGTTTCTCACCCTTGGAAGCCAACCAAGAGAGCGTCCCCCAGAAAAAGGGGAAATAAACAAAAACATCATATAACCCATGTCTCTGCACAGGCCGCAGCAGCTGTTTCCGCACCCAAACGAAGGGGGCCTTGGTCAACTTTGAGCAGTGCGGAAGCGAGCAAATAAGTTGAACAGGTCCATTCCATCTGTGCCCAAGCGGAGAATGCCGGTAGCCTCTTCCGCGGAATTCCACTAACCCACACACAACAAAACACACATACACACATACATATGCATGTAAATATATATATATATACACCCTAGACTTCCAAAGGACATTAAATAAATGGCCGAGGTGGCAAAGTACATTTTCTGGGAAAAGGCAATTTTTTGCTTAACTTTGGTTGGATCATGATTTTCACGAAAATCGCACTTAAAAGTAGCTGGAGGGGGCTGCACAGTCCCATTTTGCCGAGCTTGAGAGTGCTTCGTGCGCTCCGCACAGCCTTCTGCAGAAACTTGCCAACGTCAGCCATGGGGCACGGCTCGGGAACTGTTTGTTTGATTTCTGCATATACTGGTCCAGCATACATCCATCGATCCATGCATGCATATTGGCAATTGCCAAGCCAGAAAAGAGGTACAAAGTCCTGTAAAGTCACGTGCCGCGAATTAACACCAAAATGGTGCAAGAACGGGATGTGCAGACAATGTCTTTTCTACGGCAATAAATGGCCGTTCTACGGCAGAAAGTGTACTTTCTACGGCAGAAAATGTACTTTCTACGGGTTGTCTACGGTTTGTCTACGGTCCCTTTCGGTCACAAGCAACGAGCAATGAGCTCAACAAATCTCGGCTTTACGACTCGACCTGATGTGAATATCCTGATTTTGCGATGTGTTTCCCCTTCTGCGGAATCAAGTACCCCTGACTTACACCGTACTTTTCGTAGCGGTTATTTGCTTGCCTATGGTTTTCCCGAATGGTTTGCCTGTGGTATGTCTATGATATGTCTACAGTATGTCTATGGTTTGTCTATCGTCAATGTGCCCTGATGAGAGCACTCGAAGAAATTGAGCCTCCATAGTGGATGCAAAAAATGTCCCTTCTCGACCAAAAAAATGTCCGTTGTTTGAAGGACATTTATTTAATGGCCGAGGAAGTTCTGGGTACATATATATATATATATGTATATATATTACATATATATGTATATATATATATGTATATATATATATGTATACATACATAATATGCATATGGCATGCGAACACGATTATCGTGATTCTTAGCGTTAGCGTATTTATTACCATTATCATTAACATCATCATCGTTGGATTGTTAGTTTTACTATTGTCATTATGAGGGTTTGTCTCCCAATGACGAAAACAAGGGAAATAACAGTTTTCTGTTTGTCCCTGCGAAGAACCCCTCTGGCCAGCGGGAACTGCGGTTGAACCCCAAAAATACCTTCGGAGGAACGGGTTGATTTCAAGGGAAACCACGAGGAAGACCACAATAATGGTCCAAACCCTGCCGAACTCCAACTCTTGTGTCAATTATGTCCAGCCATTATCCAAACTAAGATTTAAAATTTGGTAAACGTTGAGATACTCTTTGACACACGCGTGCTCACACGCGCACACACACACACACCCCTCTTGACCCCGTCCTTGGTTGTAGCCGCGTCTGTCGCACATGCCGCCTCGCCAGGCCACGCCCACGGTGCCGTACCCGTTGCCGCAGCCCGTGAAGAGGTGCAGCGCGCCTGCCGCGAAGAGTCAAAGTAGATGGACAAAAATATGTTTTTTTGGGGGGCCATGTTCTCTTCCAGATATGTTTTTGAACCCAATCAACCTGTGGCAGCTTCTCTTCAGTGTTCATACAGTTTTGGCCTCTCGCAATATTCATGTTCACCCGTGGTGGATATTGTCTAGTTCGTTGAGGGCAGACCACCCAGTCAAGCTAAGGATCCCTAAAATGTTGGCTTCTTTTTCTTTTTCTTTTAACCACCAAGGAAGTGGCTTTGTGAAACTACCCCCAAACGTGGACTTTGCTTTCCTCCCAAATGCAGCGGTTCTCACTGCCACGTTGGCTTCCATACTTTGGCTTCCCTTCATTCCCTTCAAGCCAACCCCGAAAAGGCACCCTCAACAAAAGATACATCCGATTCGCGGCTGTGGACATCTCCCCCGGCCAGATTTTAGCTTTCTTTGTTCATATATGAATGCCCTTGCGTTGGACTGCTTCTATACATATGGCTATGATTTTTTTAGGGGTCTGTAAAGCGCGACGCGCCACGAATCTTGTTTACGGAGGTCTGTAACGGAGGTCCTTGTTACGCAGGTCTGTAACGGGACAAACATTTCCTGACAAGAAGTATTAGTAGCACGATGTAGCGCAGCACAACGAGGTATGTAATGGCTATGTAACGAGGTCTGTAACGAGGTATGTAACGGCTATGTAACGAGGTCTGTAACGGCAAAGCAAAGCGCAGCACGCAAAGCACGCCTCCGCAGCTCTATGCAACGCAAGCCAAGCTGCGGCCACAAGCGGGGTTGCTGGCCCGGGCTGGGGTTGGGTCTGAAACGAGGTATGTACCGGCTATGAAACGAGGTCTGTAACAAGGCAAAGCAAAGCACTTGATTGCAGCTATTCAACGCAAGCCAAGCTGCGGCAAAAGGAGGGCAGTCACGTTAGTGGCCCGGTTTGCTCATCTGAGGTGTGTAACGAGGGCGTGTAACGAGGGTGTGTAACGAGGGTGTGTAACGAGGGTGTGTAACGAGGGTGTGTAACGAGGTGTGTGTAACGAGCCAGCTGGTTTTGTTACAGAGGTCTGTAACGAGGTCTGTAACGAATGTCCGCCGCGGCTCTGTTACAGACCCCTCAAAAAAATTCACTGCCATATAGATATGCTCAAGTATATGTATATAGACACATCAGGATTTGTTGAGCTCTCTCACGGTTGTGGAGGTCATTCGCATCCAGTCATACATTTTGTACTTTTGTCTTCCACAATCAAATGGGAGTCTCTTGGCTACAGAGCACGGCATGAGCTTGCGCCACTATGACCTAGCTGCTCAGCTGCCCATGGCGAGAACCAACCAACTGAAACAAGACATATCGTGCCACCACCAGCTCTGGGTTTAACGAAAAGGAACTTTGTTTCTGAAAGAAAGTTCCGTTCAAAAAGAGAGGTAGCAAAACAAACAAAGCTTGACTTCACCATTGAAAGTAGATCGCTATGCAAACCACCAGCCCTTATACGGATGCTTCAGCACCACCCTGCGCCAGTCTGATGGAAGCTCCAGATTGGATTTCAAAGGTCTCGCATATAGAAGCTGCAAGATTGCGAGTCAAGAACCATCCAGCATGCAACTAGCCTTGTGTTCATCATGGGGGAGCGGGAACTGGCTCGCTCTTACCTCGCTGTAGCTTGGGGTGTCAACCCAAAGGAACCAAGAAACACCTTGCAATCGACTGAGAGGCAAGCTTGCCCCCCCAAAATCCCACCCGTCCGCGCCGGTGAAAGGGTGCGAGCTCGTGTCTGCCCGAAGATTGTCAAGCCTCAAGCTCTAAGCGCGCGTGGAAAGGCCCTTCAAGGAACGACTCAACTGGACCAGCTCGAAAGGGAACAGGGAAACCACTGGAGTTTCGCGGGCCGGCTGTGGGGGTGTTGGCTTGGGTTTTGTCCGTGTGTTGCGTGCGGGTTTTAGGAGGGTTGTCTGATTGGATGGGTTTTTCTCTCCACACTCCGACGCCCCAACCCCAGCTCAAAGGGCTAGGTGAGCTCCAAGTCATGAGACATCAATCGACAAACACTTTCAGTCATCGACATCAAACATGCACCAGCCAAATCCGACATATTCCACTCATCCAAATCAAAGGAACATATCACCACTTATTCCGGCAACCGCAGCAGAAGCAGGCGGAATCAGCCGGAAGCTCTTAAATGTTTCTACTTGGAAGGCAAACCGCATCTGAAAAAACACCCACGGTCTGTCTTTCAGGCTACCCCCTTTTTGTTGCGGGGGTACAGAGAAATCAAAAGTAAAATCTCACCATGTTGGGTCCGTCCAACCTGAAAACAAAGACAAAAAACCCACAACATGAACCTGAAGCAAAAACAAACCCACATGTTGGTCGGTCCAACCTGACAAAACCGACAAAACCCCACATGAAACAAAGACAAAACCCACATGCCGAATCCATGCCCAGGGGCTTCCCCTGCTTGTCCGTGCACTCGGCGGCAAAGCGGGGCGCCCCGGCGCTCGTGGTGTAGAGCTTCATCTGTCGCGGGCCAACCGCTTGCACAAAGGTCGTTCACAGGCAGTGCTTGGAGTTAGGGTCCCAACAAGGCCTCGAGACTGTCAAAACCGAGTGTTGCAGATTAAATAGCTTCCATTGGAAAACAAGAGGGCCGAAGCAACACCCCCATGTTGGTCAAAACCAAGTGCAGCCTATGGAAGGCCAATTTAAAGAATGTTAGGAAATGGGGACTGGAACCTGAGATCCGTTGTGTAGCATGAGACAGTCTCTCAAGAGCAACATGAAACTCAGAGCGTCAGGCCGCATTGAAAAGCAACCATGGCATGCACTTTGACACAATGATCAAACATGTGTATGGGACAGTAAAAAATCGGTATATCAGCAATTCTAGACCGGAGACTGCCTACGACAGTGAATCGATGGTCTCAGCCTCAAGGCAAAATCACATACCAATCATCATCAGAGAAGCTTCCTGAGAATCCCGAAATTAGGACTCGTGAATCCCGATGAAGGATTCGCGTCCCGTTGCACTCAACATCAGAGTCATATGGTGGACAATTATCTTACTGGCCAATTGCAAGCATCTGCGACAGCCCTGCGCTAAGGCAGTTGCGTAGCCAATGCGGAGGGCGATGTTGAACCTCAGTGACGGGAATCACTGGTGGTCCGAGTGTCAGGGCTTTCAGGATGGCTTGCGCTTTCCGCGAAATCCCGACCGCCTGAAACATTAAGCAGCCCGCCAAACTGGAGTCCAATTTCCATCTTGACCAATAAACAAACAATGTTTGAGGTGCGGACACGTTTGTACCATTCAATTCCCTAACCAAAACCCATGCAAGGCCACTGTCTTAAGGTCCTGAAATCTCCAAAGCTCAACTTCTATAGTATATAACATTATGCATCGCTGATCTTCTTGACCTACGCTAGGCAGCGGAAATTAACCAACAGGTGGAACCACGGCCCCAAGCATCCATCAACTCACCATATCCCATCTGTCACCAAAGGGCCATCAAAGCCAACATACAGACTGTATCAAAGCCAGCACTTTCACTGGGTAGTGGTGAGGATTCACGAAAGCACAACCAATCCTGGTCACGGCCTCGGTTCTTTTGCTTCCCAAGTCTCGAGTGAGCAAGAACAAGGCGGGTGATGTATCGTCAAAGTCAGTTGGGGAAAGAAGCAGCTATCCTATCCAAGGCGCAAACAACAGGCGTTCAACGATTCGTTGCTTAGTCACCCTGCACCACTCCATCAAAGCTGACAAACGAGATGGAACACTTGGCGGCTGCGCAGTTGCCACCAGTCAACAGCACCAAGTTGCAACTCAAGCCATATCAGCACAGCAGGCAGGAATGACGAAACATTAAACATATCCATCATCCAGCATCCATCGTTCTACTTGGGTTTGTCTCCAAATAGGGAAATCCCAGCGTGCCTGGTCTCTGCTTAGTTTCTCTTCAACGTCAGCCCAACAGGGCCTCCTCAACAGACAAACTCACTGAGAAGCGGCTAAAATGCGGTACCCAAATTGCAAGGAGATCTGACAGTCACATTCTCAAGGACACAACTGTGGCGTTTGAGACTCACAATTGAGCGCATTGGCCTTGCCAAACAAGTCCACAAATTGCGTAGCGTCCAAGTTCCGCTGATACCATGTGATACAACCCCAAAAACAAACAAGGCGTTTAACGTTTCAGTGAGATGGGTATGTCTTTTTGTGGGGGACCCCCAAAAAAGGTGATTTCCCTTGTGGTGTCCCTTTGAAACCACCAAACAGGGGGTACCCTCAACAAAAAAGGAGCCACATGGCAACTGATCCAGTCTCGATCGAAATCCGCTTGCTTCGAATACTCAGGGCTCCGCTGCTTCTCATAGATGAAGGAGGCTTCTGCCACCACCTGGCTTCGATCCGGGTGTGACGAATGGGGCGAAGGTCCTTGACCCCCTGCGGTTTTTCCGAGTTTCCCCAGGTGGCTTGCGGCGATGTTCACATCGGCACTCCGTAGCTTTTGATGCAATTCGATGCAAAGCATCCCGAATTCCACCGAGAACGGACATGAAAAGACGGTCCATCCAAGACAACTGTGCAAGGTGGATAAGTGCCAGAGCTGCGTTCTTCCCAAAGGCTATGCGGCCACAGCATAGCCAGCCGCAGTTCGAGCAGGTTAGCTGTGATTTTGTCACGGGCACATTTACGCTAAGGGCTGATATCTGCTGCTTGGGTTGAAACCATGTCATGTGGGATTGAAATTGGTTTGGCTCTGGTTTCTGTCTTTTAATGTGAGATGTTTCTCATGCGGCCGACGCTTTCCATGCGGTCCAACCAACCAACCAACCAACCAACCGACCGACCAACCGACCGACCAACCAACCGACCAATTGCAAGCCTTTAGAAAAAACGACATCTTAAAATCCTTAGGGAAACCTAGCACACAGACACAAAGGCACAAACACGCATGAATACAGAGACACATACCCACAAAAACACGAAGACACAAAGACACAAAGACACAGACACACACACGTAGCGCACACCCACACATACTCGCACACAAACAAAACTAAAAAACAGGCTCAGAGACACACGGGCAAACGGACCCTCACACACATACACACACAAACGTGTACATATATGTTTTGTCAGCGGGAACTGCAATTTGCTAATTTCCACAAGCCTGATTGATCCTGCTCAAGATGGGGAGTCGCTCTGGTGATCACGTTGCCTTTGCATTCTGGCGCCTGCTCAATCTCTGACTGCAAGTTGTTGCCATGCTTCTCCCACGCGGCCACGTCCTCATCTCCAGGAGTTGAAATCCGATCAAGGGCTTCCCTTTTCGCCTTGCCAATATTAAAACATCTACCTTGCAACAATAAAGGACCACCAACATTCCAATCCATGGCTGCCTTACGTACGGCCAAATTCAGATTGACGCGTGCCATATCCGAAGCTGAGCAACTGCAACTGTTCCCATGATGAAGTCGTGCATGACGCTGTCTCCTGCGCACACCAACAATCTGAAATCAGCATCACACTTGCAGGCATACCAACACACTACTTGGGTGTCGTGCAAGCCCTGTGTTTCTATATTCGTGGACAAGGAGCTCGCCTAGGGGAAAAAAACACACTTCAAAAAGCAAATGCGTGCCACCAGCCTTGACACACAGAAACAACAGCAAACAGCAGGCCAATGCGGCTGCCAAGGTGTACCAAGCAGCCAAAGAAACATATTTCACTGGCAAGATTTGGGAATTGCACGTCTCTGTATTAGAGGTCGGTGTTGCTATTATTTGTGTTGTTATTATTATTACTATGATAATAATGATGAGTATTATTATCATTATTTGTTTTCCTTTTGTTGTTGTTGTTGTTGTTGTTGTTGTTGTTGTTGTTGTTGTTGTTGTTGTTGTTGTTGTTGTTGTTGTTGTTGTTGTTGTTGTTGTTGTTGTTGTTGTTGTTGTTGTTGTTGTTGTTGTTGTTGTTGTTGTTGTTGTTGTTGTTGTTGTTGTTGTTGTTGTTGTTGTTGTTGTTGTTGTTGTTGTTGTTGTTGTTGTTGTTGTTGTTGTTGTTGTTGTTGTTGTTGTTGTTGTTGTTGTTGTTGTTGTTGTTGTTGTTCTTGTTGTTGTTGTTGTTGTTGTTGTTGTTGTTGTTGTTGTTGTTGTTGTTGTTGTTGTTGTTGTTGTTGTTGTTGTTGTTGGTGGTGGTGGTGGTGGTGGTGGTGGTGGTGGTGGTGGGGTCGTTGTTGTCGTCGTCGTCGTCGCTGTCGCTGTCGCTTTTGTTGTCGTTGCTGCTGCTGCTGCTGCTGCATGTGCTCTTCTTGTCACTTGTGTCATAATTATCCCACTACTTGCTTTTAGCAGCAACAAACATGCAGATTCAAAAAAACACAGAGACGGAACCTGCCAGGCTGGGTCTGTTTCTTTGCAGGCGGGGGCTCTGATCAGTGCATAGTCAAAACCTCATTTTGTGGGTGGCCTTGGTTCCTTAAAAGGAGTTAGCATGGATGACCACCCCTGCCAACCACAAGCAAAGGATATTGACCTTGGCACAAATGGGTGTAGCTTTGCTGGTGGCATCGCCAATCGCACAGGCTTATCCTTCCCACAACTGTGGGGCGTATAAAGGGAAGGTGCTCTATCAGTCGAGTTGGATATGCTGCCAGGCCAAAGTCACAAACTATCAACACAAGACGGTCAGTGCTGATCCTATAATTTGCAGTTGAGCCAAAGGGTGTCAACTGTCTTAAGTCGCCCATGTCATTAAAAACATCTTCGCACATCCAAGTTGACAAGCCTAAAGCCAGGTGAAGCAGTTGGTTCCAAAAAAATGCCAAGGGAAACACCCACGAATTCCAGCCAAAAGCATCCAAACATCCCGGGGAATCAGCGGTGCCGTTGGGGTCTTGTTCATGCGCTTCGCGCAGAGACCCTTGCAAGTGGCGAGTTCCCTAGTTTTTTTGTTGAGAAATGAGTGTCCCCCCATGTCCGTTTGAAAGTCACCATCTGTTGGATGTCTTGACCCAGCCTCGTGTCATGTGGCGCTACACAATGCTCAATTCAATGCACAAACCGTGAATTCTCCTTTCTACCTGCATTTTCTTGCCAGTTCATTTCATGACCTCAGCTCACAAACACTGTTGCGAAGGCCGACATCTCTGGCTGCCGGTGAAGATGCTAACACTGCAATCCAAAAAGCGGGCTACCAGCAAACCACGTCCATCACTTACTTGGGATTCATTGGTAAAGTTCGGGTACGGCACAGCGCCTGTCAGAAGTGCAACACCAAAGCAATTGTGCCATGGGCCAGTCCTGCGTAGCAACCTGCGAGCAATTTCGCGGGATGGGATGAAAACCCGAAGAAACCCTCGGACGGCGAATCGAATCTGCTCTCAAAACCATGAGGATGTTGGAACAACCCAAGGAGTCAGGATAAGGTTAGGACGTGCGGCTGCTGGAACATGGCATAGGAAGGCATGCAAGGATGTTAGTTGCCAACGCCATTCGGAGCCAATGTTCTCTATTTGCTTGTCACTTCAAGCTGGCGCATCCCTCGAACTGTTCTTGTCCCATGGCTGAACTGTCAATGCCTGACGTCAGAGGTTTTTTTTGGGGGAACCTTCGTAGCACTTGTGCCCGGCCACACAGATTTACCTCGCCAACATTGGGGGAAGGCAGGAGGGGACAACGGCAAGTAGTAAGCTAAAACATGAAACATAGCCTCCCAGGGAACCATGCCCCGAACTAAGAGGTGTAGCTATGGAACAGACAATCCTGAACAACCACTTGCTCCCTACTCGTTGCTGGCCCTGCTTCTGATGTCGGAGACATACGCTTGACTTGAGAAGCGCTTGCTCTCCTTACCAAACACTCTTTGTCCGACTTCCAGCATGTGCGCTCCAACAGTTCTCAAACGCGGTTGAGAAAGACTCGGCATCCGATCGTCAAATTGAACAAGACGGTTCCATGAATCGGGCTCTCATCCAAAGACCCCCGTCTAGACTCTTCCAAGCAGACCCTGTCTCATGGGCCGCGTTGGCCGGGTAAAGGGGGCGGGACCTCGATTCAAACGCCCTCAGGAGGTGGCGCAACATGTAAATTCACCGCTGGACAACTATGCAGAATATCAAAACACCTACAAGGGATGTGACATCACCCTGGGTCATATCTTTTTGTTTAATCTACCGATTCATCGACTCCCTCGCGTCTTCTTGTGCCTTCCGTTCATCTTCTGACGATTGATAAAAGGCTAAGGTCGTTTCCCATGCAGCAACTCTCTGCCGCCCAAGCGGAAACATGCGCCTGGAAACCACGCTTGTCCGCCCCACATGCTCTCGGCATGCAGTTCATCGGTGGCGTCCTCGATTGGGAGGCCGGTGTTCGCCTCGGATCAAAGGGAGAACTACCAAGGGCTATCCAGGGCAGCGTCTTAAGCGCCTCAGATTGGGTTCTTAGAAGGCTGCCATAAGAACATTTCTGAAGGGCAGGGGGTTCTCTCGCCTGACACAGAGGTTCATGGCAGAACAAGCACAAGGCTGAAGGCGTCTCCAAACTCGGAGCTGAAGGCAATTTAGCTTCTCATGACTGCCAGCTTGCGAGGCTGAATATGGTTCAACCAAGTACTTAGAGGAATCACTACACAGTTCTCGACGGCATCGAATCTTAGTCCTGAAACAGGATGGTTGCCAACTGCTTCCTTGTGTAGGACACCGACGTGGCAAGGCGATTGGTACTGCCAGCCGTGGACCATGGGAAGCGCCCGAACCCCGAAGCGAGCCACAAGCCGGCGCTACTGCATCTCAGTGGCCGGAATAACCCATCCGGAGTCTTCCACCTTAGCAAAAGAAAACTGCCCTCAACAAATCATGAGTCCGAATCAAAGGCACCTCAGCATGTTGTCAGTGTGTTCTAAAGTAGATGGGCGCAAAAAAGCCAAAAGCAAGCTCCAAATCAATGGAATCGTGTGTGCACCCTGCGCCCGAGACCTCAATGAATGGTCTACGCTACCTTTGTACGCTTGGCTTTGATTTGTCTTGTCCACTGGGCCTTGGGCCCTCCAGTTGCGATTCACATCGATATTGGCTATCCATTATCATACCACATGGGATGGGAACCATCCCCATCTTCTCGGACAAATCGGCTGCATGAAAGAAATGACCCATTCAAAGATCAATGAGTGTCTTCGTGAAACATGGCGAAAAACTAGTCTCCAAGCTACCGTTATGTGCAACCGCTGATGGTCAAATGACAGGAATGGCTTCCTGTTCAGGGATGAATTCGCATCCGTGGGGTAGCCCCCGGCAATACAACAGCAGAGCATTCGGCACGGGCCAAAGCAGCAAGGCTCCCATCCTCCCCTGTCATGCAGTTCAAAAGCTGTTCAGATCTCAAGGCCTGAGCTCGCTTCCCTCCCGCCAAAAGCGAAAGGGTTTTCATCAGCGCCTCGTCAAGCCCATTCTCTGTCTTGACAATGCCGGCCGTGGCCTCGCGTGTAGCCTGCGCGAAGCTAATCTGACATAAACTTAAGGACAACTCAAAGGCCATGCACACCTATAGTTTCCTTGTTCCTCTGTTGACCCAATTGCGGAATGGCTTGGCATTCCGAGGAATCCTAACAGGACTAAGGGGCCAGAAGGTCCACAAAATGCTTACTGGCTGACCCTGGGGACAATCATAGTGCTCATGCCATCCATGTTCTTTGGTGGCTTCTGGAAGGAGGGAACTCGAGTTAACGCAACATGTGGAGTTCCATCTTCGTGACAGGTAGTTGCTAACATCTCCACCAACTCCAAAGAAGACTGCCACCCTAAGAACAGGGTGAACGAAAGAACCGTATGATGAATTCGACGCCACAAAATGGGCGCTAAGTTACCTGCCACCGTTCGCAGATACAGCAGAGAAGAAAAGAAGTGACGGGTTTTTCCTCCAAATGGATAGCATTGCTTCCGGCTTTCGGAAGAAGTGCCTCCGCACGTGCCGTCGCTGAGACATGGGCCTCTTTTCGGCGGAGCTGTAGGAACTGCAGCTGCTGGGATCCTGGAGCAAAGGAAACCGAAGCGAACCGAGCTGGAAGTGTCTTGGTCCTTCCCACTGTGGGATGAGTAGAAGCCACAACTAGAGAAGAGGCTATTCTGGTTGGCAATTGGTGCAAGACCGCAGCAATGTCACCAGAGTTGCCCGAATGTCCAGATCGCATGAGTGGGTCAACAAAGCATCCTGTGCGAAGCAAAACGTTGGCCTCCTGAGTAAGCTGGAAGACGGCCATGCAGCATGCTAAGTGCCACTAGCAAAGCCTTTGATCCAGGAAGTGTCGAGTTCACAGGCACAAACGTTGATTCAACATGATGATTGGCACGGTTCAGCTAAACCAGTAGCTTGTGGTAGAATAGCTTACAAATGTCATTCGGGTTCTGGTTCAGCTAAACCGATATTTCTTTGGTTCGATCTGGTCGTCTGGGTGTTGCATAATTGTCGACCCCGACAGCACCTTCCC